GGTATACCTGGTCTTCGCGTCGAGCAAAGACTTACTGACATAATATACGGGCAGTTGCTGATTATCGTCCTCTCCTGCTAGGACTGCACTAATGGACGGCATGCTGACTGCTAGGTATAGCTGCAACGTCTCATGCTCTTTTGGTTTAGATATGAGCAGTAGAGATGCCATGTACTGCTTCAGGTCATGTAAAGCTTTTACGTGCTTCTCCGTCCACAAGAATTCCTTGTTCTTCCTTAAAACGTCATAGAACGGACGACACTTGTCGGATGACTTCGTTATGAATCTGTTGAGCACTGCAACACGTCCTGTCAGCTTTTGCACCTCTTTGACGTTCCGGGGGGATTGGATGTTGATAATAGCTTTGATCTGATCGGGACTTGCTTCAATCCCCCTTTGAGTCACGATGTATTCTAAGAATTTTCCTGCAGACACTACAAAAGAACATTTAGTAGGGTTTAGCTTCATACCATACTGTCTTAGGACGTGAAAGGATTGTTTAAGGTGTCCGATGTGATTTTCTGATTTCTTGGACTTGAATAGCATGACGTCGATGTATACTTCCATCGTATCTCCTAATTGCTCTTTGAACATCTTGTTGACGAGCCTCTAATACGTCGCTCCCGCGTTCTTTAGTCCGAATGGCATGACTTTATAGCAGTAGATTCCTTTGTCCGTCATGAAGGCTGTCTTCTCTTAGTCATTCGAATGCATTAATATTTGGTTGTAAGCTGAATATGCGTCCATAAATGTGAGGAGCTCATGCCCGGCAGTCGCGTCAACCATGGCGTCGAAATGCGGCAGGGGAAATGGATCCTTGGGGCAAGCTTTGTTTAAGTCAGTGAAGTCTATGCACACCCTCCATTTTCCGATCTTTTTGCTGACTACTACGACGTTTGCTAGCCAGTCAGGGTACTTGACTTCCCTTATCTTCCCTATCTTGATCAACTTTTGTACCTCGTCGTTGATTACTTGGTTTCGCTTTGGTGAGAACTTACGTCGCTTCTGCTTGACTGGTCGATGATTAGGGTCGACGTTCAGCTTGTGTGTAATCACGTCGGGACTGATACCTGTCATATCTTTATGGGAACAAGTAAAGCAGTTTTTGTTAGCTTTAAGAAATTTAATTAGTTCAGACCTGATACCTGGGTCGAGCGATGCCCAAATTTGGACAATTTTCTATGGTTTGCTTGGGTCCAGCGCCACTTCATCGATTGTTTGCTCGTCAGGCTCTTTTGACGCTGGTCCTTGCTATAATTGCTATGCATCCTTTTGGATGGCTTCAATGTAGAATTGTAGCATCTTCTGGCTTCTTGCCTTTCTGTCTTGATTTCCTACATACCCCATTTGGTTGGAAACTTAATCACTTGGTGATATGTTTAGGGGACGACCTTCATTCTATGGATCCAGGGACGATCGATGATGGCATTATAGGCTGACGGACAATCCACGATGTTGAAATGTGTTGACAGGTTGACGCCCCCAGCAAATGTAGGCAGCACGATCTCTCCACTTGTGTTAAGGGCTTCTCTGCTGAAACCTACAAGGGCTGTTGATTTTCATATGACGTCTCTTGGGTCGATTCCCATATCTTCAAGGTGCTTTTTAAGAGGACATTGGTTGAGCTTCTCCGTCGACTAACACTCTTTGTAGCATGCAGTTGCCAATTGTTAGAGATACCACTAGGGAGTCATGATGCTCTTCTAGGTAATCTCCCAGGTCATAGTCGTCGAAGGCAAGGACCATTGATTCTAGGGCTTTATCTTGGTTTGATTTTGCGTCCTTGGGGACGACTTCTTCAGGATTACCTACTGTAGACACCCATTTGTTTCTCCCCAAAACCAAACCTAGTGATGAGTACCTTTCACATCAAATCATAATCGAATGAAGTGAAAGTGTGGAAAGTTTAGTGTTGCGGATAGTTTTAATTTCTTTTCTCTTCTCTCTGTTTTTGAAAACCTATTTTAAGAAAACAGCCAATCCAGTTTGGTTGGTCCATGATATGGGTCCAATAGTAGTGTAGTTGGATGGGGCTTGAAAAGAGCTTTCCAACGATATATTATAAGCCCAATTCCGATGAATATTGAGGATGTTATGGCCAAATTACTTAACTGGGCCCGGTTTGAGCCTTATATGCAGCCCAATGATCTAGAGGAGGGCCTAATATATATTTATCATTCCTAATGCAATTAGGAATGACTTTAGTCTTCTAGATTCTTCTAGAAGGTTCTTTTCATTCCTAATTCAATTAGCATTGATAAATTGACTTTTGTTGTCTTTTTTAGAGTTTTAATCAGAATAAAAGAACGTTTTTGAGGAAAATACGATTTTATCCTCCTGTACGGCAATTTCTATCTGATATTAAGAAAACGCGTCAAAAACTTGGTCAGCGCCAAATGCCAGCATTAGCGCTTGACGGTAAGCTTAGCGCCTGGCGCTAACGTCAGCGTCTGGCGCTGACCTGGTTTTACGCATCAAAACTCTGTTTTGATTTTTTATCTTTTTAGCTGATTTTATCTATAAATAGCTTCCTAAAAACTCCATTTTCATTCACCAACTCTCATCAAGATTCTCTTGATTACTCTCTCTCTCTCTTTTCTAAACTAGCTTTTTCACAAATACAAAATTCCTCATACATTAGACTTAGATACACCTAGCCAAGTTCGAAGTTGCCTTCGCCCTAGACGTGAAAGGTTTAATTTCTGAGGGTTTGGTCCCAAATCTCTCTTTCAATTATTTAATTTAATTGTTTTGTTTATTATTTTCCTTGAAGTTACTAACGCGTGTATTTTGATATTAGAAGAGGTACGAGACATCCAAGCAAGTACTTTAATGGTTTAATTGATATTTTGATATAGAAATCATGCTTAGATTGTTATTTTGATTCCTAGTATCATGTCTAGGGTAACTTTAATATTAAGTATGATTAAAAGTATGATGCTTCCTATGTTCTTTCTAATATTTATGATTGTTAGTATCATGTTAGGGTTAAAGCGTTGATTTTTATTGCTTAGTGACATGCTCGGGTTTGTTATTAATCTTGTTAGTATCATGCCTAGGATTTTGCTATTATTATTATGCTTTATTTTTAACATGAACATAATTTATGATTATAATTATTGTTATTGTTATGATGATTATTATGATGCTTGATATTTTATGGTTATTGCTTGATCACTCTTTGTATGCATGTTTAAAGGGAATTGGTACTTGTAATCACGCTTAATAAGATAATTTATAATCTTGTTAGGGTCAATATGATTATAATTCAAGTGATCGCCAATGATAGATTCATTTGTGCATTAAATTCCAACATAAATTAAACAGGTTTAGGGTAAACCTATTGATTGCATGTTAGTTAGAAAGCGCACATGAATACGATCAGAATAAAGTAGAGGCCTATTATTAGGGCAGGTTCAATCTCTTTTAGGCTGGATTTGTACCTTCATCCCCGAACCCTATTTGGTTCAAGACCTTATGGAGTTCACGATCTCTTGGATCATTAAGCGGCGTAACCTTCACCTCGTGAACGGTTTACAAGTTCCTAAAAAACTTGTTGGCGACTCTTTTGCTCTATCTTTTTTCCCTTTGGACGCCACCGTACTTTAGTGTATGATCACAGTGGGGTTCAAGCTAGGGGTTAACGCTTGAAATATTCCCTACAGTTTTTGGCGACTCCACTGGGGAGGATTTCTATTTTAATTTCTGAAATTTATTTCGGCAATGATTTAGAATGAGTGGATGAGACTCGAAAAGTTCTAAGTATTTCATGTGCGTAATTTTGATTAACATTATTGTCATATGCATAAAAAAGATCTCATTGGAAAGACCATCCGTAATGAGTTAAAACATAGGATTTTACACGTAGGAAATTTGAGGAATATCTTTCACAACTATGACCGAAATAACACTTCGCGAAATTGGAAAATTTTATCGAGCACAGAAAGCTGCTAAGGCATGTAGGAATTAGCGTCAACGAACAGAAAATTAGCGCCAGAATCTTGACTGTAGCGCTAGATGACAGCTCTGTCGCCAGGCGCTACAGCCAAAATCCAGCGCCAATCTCTTTTTTCTGGCGCCAAATTCTTCCAATACCGAGCCAGAAATATGCGTTCTAATTTCGACCAGTTTTTTGCATTGTTTACTCGATCCTACTTCCTGATTGTGTTTTTCTCACTTTTCTGAAACCCATATGTGATCTACATATGGACATAACCCTCTAGGAATTCATGCTCCATCTACCTGATTGAACGCTCTAAGCAACAAAGGGTACATCCAAGAATGTTGAATTCACCAAACCATGGAAGCGAGTTTTTTCTAAAACTCGCAGTGTCCCATCCACTCGCGCCAACCCTTCACGGTTAGGCTTCCGCGCGGTGCATCCGGACAATTAACCATGGACCCTCTATTGACTAACCCATATCCCGATCATTAGAGAACTAGAGCCATGGTTAGGTGCAAACGCATTGCATCATATCGTGTCTACTTGACTAATTGTGCATTATTTGTTGTACATATGGTATATGTTTTTCTTAACCGTTTGTTTGACTTGTGTTAAGATTAAATAAATTAATGACTAAAAGAACTTTTCCTAATTAATTAATCTGAGTAAAGAAAGTCTAATATCTTAACCAGAATTGACCTAGTACGACTTTAGGCATACCTCTGTTGATTAATAACACTTAGGGCTGGCAAAAATTGACACGACCCGAAAACCCGACCCGAACCCGACCTGAAAAAAGCGGGTTAGGGTTGAGTTTTTCAACCCAAAAACTTAAATGGTTCGACACGAACCCGAACACGAAATTAAATGGGTTAGGTTAAGGTTAAGAATATCAACCCGAAAACGACCCACTTAACCCGAAAACATAATTGGGTCAAAATCAAGTCGGGTTAACCCGAACCTGACCTGAATAACCCGAAAAAAATAAGGAAATTTTTTTTTTAAAAACCCCTAAAGTAACCAGCCCAAGCCCAAATTCATGCCCATATAAAAAGTAAAACCCTAGGGGTTCTTTAATCAATTGTAGCCTCTCAACACCCCTCCTCTCTCTCTCTTAATTTTATGATTTTCTCCCTCTAAAATCTCAAGCTCTCAACGTTTCTTTAAGGGCTTCAATCATCAATCTTTAAGGTAATTTCAACAACAATAATCTATGTGTGAGGTTACTATGTATCAGAGTTATATTTTATTACGCTATTAATTCATATTATTACTTCGTATTATCGTATCTTTTGCATGTTTATTTAGTATTTCCTACTTGATTTAAATACAATTGTGTTTATATTATTACTTCAGTTTTTTCTTTTAATGGTTGTATGGTTGAATCGGGCCTTTGGGATATTAACTTCATCTTTAATTTTTTTTTTTCCTTTTGTAGCAGCCAAGATCCTCAATTGCAAAGCTTGTTATTATCATGAACAAGGATGGTACGCCACCATTTGCATCGCCTGCCCAAAATTGAAGTTTTTGTTTATAACTTGTAAAAACATTTATATCTTTTGAACTTTTTGTAATTTTCTATGTAGATCTGACATTAAATAGACTTGGGTTTGTAATATATTAAGAGTTAAGTAATGTTTATCAGCTTTTTGTATGGATTTAATTATGGTTTAAAAGAAATCAGACTGTTTAAACAAATTAGGTTGTTTGGGTTGGGTCAACCTGGATATAGCAACCTGATTCAAAACCCAAATAAAAAACAGGTCAAATAAGGTCAATTTCGGGTTGACCCTAACCTGAAATTATCAGGTTCAGGTTGGAGTTTTCAACCCAAAAAGTTAAATAGATCAGGATCGGGTTGGGGGGTAGCTGACCCGAAATCAGCTGACCCGAACACGAACCCGACCCGACCTGATCCGTTTGCCAGCCCTAATAACACCGAAAACAGTTTTAGATTGAAGCTCAAGCAATGGCGCCAATGTTTGAACTGTAGCGCCACTTTGTGGAGTGTGGTGCCTGGCGACAGCTCTGTCGTCTGGCGCTACACTACAAAGAGAGACGCCAGTCCTATCGTCTTGACGACAGTTCGGATTATTAATCGAGTCATCACTTTGTGTCTAACTAACTAGTTTGCTAATTAATTCGGTTAAATTTTACTGCCAATAATACTTTGTTAAGTCATTAATTGAGTCTAGGCACTAAGTCCCATGGTCTTACACAAGAGTCCAAGCATGTCACTTACACTCAACGCACACACCAATGCACATACTTTGACCATGTCTAAGAGAGTCTTGTATACGCGTTTTTGTTCCGTCATTTTTTTAGGGGGGTAAGTCGAATATTAATCCTCCAATTTAAATACCATACTTGGTTCCTAAAAATATATACATTATTTTTGCCAAAATATGCACCTTTTTTTTAATTTTTTTTCCTCTTTAAAACCGTAAAGTCAAGGTCGATTTGAGTCAAGTAATTAAAACACAAAATGGTTAAATTACAGCGCGTGGTCAAGAAAGGAAGGGCGGTTAATCAAAGACAACCTTTTCGTACAAGTCCAACTTTTCGACAAACCCATTGCTCGTAAGAGGAAAGCTAGGGCAGTAATGGCAACGCAAGAAGAAGTCAATGAGCTAAGGAACCAACTGGTTACCGTGACTGAGGCACTAAAGCTCCTAACCCTTAAGATCGATGATCCCGTGAAACAACAACAAATGGACCTCATGCAAGAGAGTCTAAGCAAGCTATCTAGCGACTACAAGTTTCAAGGGATTAGTTCACAAGGGGTCTCGGTGGACAAAGATCTTCTTCCGCAGAAGTTCAATGCCAACGACATCCCGAAATTCAAAGCAACCGATAACCCTTATTTTCATTTAAGAGCCTTCGAGACAATAATGATTATTAAGGGTATCGATAAGAAGGTTTTCCCCTCTTTGTTCTCAATATCTCTGGAGACCGTTTGCCAGCAATGGTTCTTTTCTCTCGAGAAATAAAAAACTTCCACTTGGGAGTCCATAGAAAACGCTTTCGTCGATAGATACAAATGAAACATTCAAGTTGAGACCGACCATAGGGAGCTTGAAATCCTCAAGCAGAAGGAGAACGAAGGCTTCACCTCCTTCTTTAACAAATGGAGAGAAACCTCAGCTAAGATGATTGAGGTACCGAGTGAAAAAGAGTCTGTAAGGTTATTCATCAAGAACCTTCAAGAAAAATACTCCAAGCATCTCAAGTATCAAAATAATCTCCATACCTTCAAGGCCATCTACGACATTGGAATCAATATTGAAGACGATCTGGCTAAGTTGAAAGCTGCCAACAATAACTCCAATAGTGGCTGGAAAGGCAAGAAGAACGACAATCGTTCTTCTTCCAAAACCACCCACTTAAACAATGTTAGCACTTTTAACCTAGGTGAAGTCCTTTCTATGAATAATCAAGGACAAAAGAAACTATTTAGGAGGAACTTTACTCCTATTGGCATGAGTTATGACACCGCATTTGATCGATTAAATGCAAAAGGTCTTATAACTCCCATTGGACCATTTGGGGACCCACCAGTCGAAAAAGAGGTCGGCTAACTAGAACCCCAATGCACACTGCAAGTATCACCAAGGTAGGGGCCATCTCACTGAGAACTGTTGGAAGCTTAAAGAAGCTATCCAAGACATAATCGATAACAACAAGCTGCCATTGCCCCCTGCCAGTAAGAAGCCAAGTATGGATAATGCGCCTCTTGCTCATTCCTTGGCTATCTCCGATGAGGGAAACGAGGTTGACCCCTCGTCTCTCATCAAACCTGTCAAAGGAATCCATGCCATCGAAGAAGAAGAGGAGATCTTTTTTGACGCCATAGATAACCTTCCAGAACCATCAAGTAAAGAGGACATACAATCACTCACACTGTCTATGATGGAAGGATCGCATTTGCTAGGTGAAACTCTCAAGACTATAAAGGAACTTCAGAAGAAATATGACGAGGTTTCACTCCCGAAAGATGAACCTAAGAGAGAATCCACACCCATGGGAACGACTTACGAGGCAACACGTTTTCCTTTACAAGTCACTGAAAAACCTAAGAAGAGTAATAGACTCTACGTTCCAATTGGGATCCCATATATACAAACGTTCGAAATGCTCTCCGAGAGTGGCAAGATAAAACCTCTCGAACCGAGACCATTCGAATCGTTGAAAAGGACAGATAGATATTACTGTCAATATCACCAATCAGGAGGTCACACTATTGAAAACTGTTTTAAATTCAAGGATTTAATTTAGAAAATGATTGATGAAAAGAAGCAGGTCCAAGTTCCACAAGAAGAGGATGCAAGTATTAATGGAGTTTGGGACAGCGATGAAGAAGACGTCTACTTAAAAGACATGGTAGGACCTCCACCTTCAGTGTCATACGCCATGGATGAATTTTGGGCTGAAGAAGATTCATCGATAGACGTCCTTACAAGATCCGGGAGAATGCAATCTCCCGTTCAACACAACCCATGCCAACCACACAACAAGTTCCCATACCTATCATTGAAGATAATGATATCGTCAAACAGTTCAAGAAGACAAAATTTGAAATGAACGTATGGAAACTTCTGGCGACATCCCGAGAACATAGGTTGGCTGTAATGAATGCCTTGGACAAAATAGGGATAGATTTTGACACCACTCCTGAGGGGTTGGCTAACTTCCTCACGAGTGACCTACCTAGTCCCATCAATTTGATCACCTTTTCTGACAAGGATTTACCCCTAGAAGGTGACAAACACTATAAGGCATTAAACCTCACAGTAGTTTGCAAGGGAATGAACGTCCCTATGACTCTTGTAGACAATGGATCAACCATTAATGTCTGTCCACTTAGAACTGCGAGGATGCTAGGCATAAGGGATGAAGACTCAACCCCGTGAACATAAGGAATAATAGCCTACGACAACACTCGTCGTCAAGCTCTTAGAAAAATTACCATGAATGTAACGGCGGGAGCAATAGAACACGCTACTACTTTCCAAGTAGTAGATATCAAGGCTTCGTTCAATTTGCTGTTGGGGACGCCCTTGGCTTCATGACCTAAAGGCCGTCCCCTCATCTCTCCACCAACAAGTAAAAGCCATAGTTGGGGGAATTCTTATGACCATCGATGCTTCACCTATGAGAATCAAGTCTATAGAAAATCCAATAATTAATGTGGAGCACGATGACGATGATGAAGATTTATGGGGCTTTAACGAAGAGGTCTCCTTAATCCGTGAGGATGAAAGGACCCCTTTCTGCCACGACCCCCATTCTAACATGATCGTGAATCCTATTCTGAAGAAAAAAGGACATTTCCCTAGGATGACCCTAGGAAAGAAGAAAGGAATAACAAAACTGCTGGAGTCACCTGGCCTTCCTAAATTAGATACTTTCGGACTTGGTTTCGAACCAACTCAGAAAGATCTTAAGCGAGCCCAAGAAAAATCAAAGACACGTAGAGACGCTCGCATTCAGAAGAAAGTAATCCCAATGGATCAGTACCCTCTCACCCTTAATGGTCAATTCATAAAAGAAGGAGAGGACTATCCATGCCATGAATTTCCCGAGCCATTTGTTGTAAACGGCATAAGGCAACCGAGATTTGAAATTTTCTTGGATTGCTATTTCATAGATGAAATCCCAACTCCTGTCCATAAGGAGAAAGCACCCCCATGCTTTGACTTTAACGTCATGGGATTATTATTTGGGCGAGAAAAGGATGAGCCGACATAAAAAGAGGATAACTCCTCGTTCATTCAAACAGTCCTACAAAGTGAAAACTTCGATCCCTCGAAGCTAATCACTCCAGTGGAAGGATCACTACAAGGGTGGCGCAAGACCGTCAAGGTGACTACTCCAAGTGGAAGGAAGATATCCATCACGACAGGGCAAGGACCGATGTTCGAAGAGTCGTCTGAGTCAGAGTCTCTCCCTATAGAGTAATCTAGGTCTTTAGTAGAAGCACCTTCCCTATCTATCTCTTCTCCTAGAATAGTTAGTGATCAAGTCCATGAGGACATATCACTCTTTGATGTAATGATCTCAGAGTATAATGATATAATTTCTTCTACTTACTTCTTGTGTTCTTCTCTAACCCAAGATGACGAGCATTGCTTAACTAACAATGAAAAGGACAAGGAACTTATTAAAGCAATGGAAACACTTGAAAAGAAAACACCGATAATTGAAGAAACTGAGACGGTTGATATCTTAAATGATTCAACCAATAAAAGAGAAGTTAAAATCGGACTAACACTTAATGAATAAGAAAGAACCGATTTAATTAACTTACTTAAAGAATTTATCAATGTATTTGATTGGTCATACGAAATACATCGATAAATATTAGGCATTCATAGAGAAATAGCTCAACACACTATACCACTAATTCCAGGAATGAAACCTGTAAAACAAAAGTTACGTCGAATGAAACCCGACGTAGCTCTCAAAATAAAAGAAGAAGTTCAAAAACAAATAACTGCAGGTTTCATCAAGGTATCTAAATACCCTGAATGGGTCGCCAACGTCGTCCAAGTTCCGAAAAAAAAGGAAGGGTAAGAATGTGTGTCGACTATCGAGATCTAAATAAGGCAAGTCCAAAGGACGACTTCCCTTTACCACACATCGATATTCTGGTAGATAACACGG